ATTTGCCTTGTCCTGCATCATAGGTGACCCTGGTTTAATCTCAAGTACTACATAGGATATCGAGCACTGCCAACTATGGCCCCAAGTGAGAAAAAAAAAAGTATTTCATTGGGTACTGGCTCAGTGGGCAGAGTGTATACGTGGTCCCCTGAGCATTGAGCCAGGAACGGCCCCTGAGTACCACTGGGTGTGGCCCAAAACAAATAAGGTATTTTATCTGCCTTTCCTTGTGTTTGGAGTAGAAGGGCATAGTTGGTATCATTTGATCAGAATATACCAGAATCCTGGAGCGATAGCACAACGGGTAGGGCGTTCACCTTATAAGCGGCCAACATGGCTGACCCGAGTTCGATTCCTCTGCCCCTCTCGGAGAGCCCGGCAAGCTACCGAGAGTATTCGATATGCCAGACACAGTAACAACAAAGTCTCCAATGGAGACGTTACTGGGCCCGCTCGAGCAAATACCAGAATCCTGCAGATTTGGCCAAACAAATGGTGTTTCTGTAGTTTGGCGGTGGTGGTTGTTAAGTACAGGGGCCAAACAGTAGAACCCAAAGTTGGCGATTTTAGCTCAATATTAAGCAATGTATATACTACTTCAATGGGCTGGGATGTAGTTTCAGTGAAGGCTCTGGGTTTGTTTTCTGGAACCACAACTCCCCTCCCCACCTCCTATGTTGTCTTTTAAATGTTTTTGAGAAAAAGTAAAAATTTTTGTCTCTGTGTCATTGTTAGTGGTCTGCACTCAGGTCCTATTCTCTGTGTCACCAGCCTACCCTGGCTGAAAGCAGTCAATGGGCTGAAAAACCCTTTAAATGAAAGGATCTCTGGCTTAAAATAGATTAATAATCCACCTTTGGTGCAATTGCTGTTTGTGGATTGGGGAGCTTGATTGTTTGAAAGGCCTTTCTTCTAGATTCAGAGGTAGAGTTTGGAACTGGTTGTAGAAACTTTAATTACCTCTCTTCAAAAGGATATTTTATAGAATATGGTTAGATTAGTTCATCTTCTATCAAAAACATTTTTGCTTTCTTTATAAAGAGAGCTAAGAGGGGCTTGCTGAAATTGGGATTTTGCATTTTTAGCTTTCCATGACCTGGTCATGTAGTAATAGCCCCCTTGTTACTTTCTGCAATCCCTTTTTGTTTCATGTTAGCACATCTTTCTCTACACTGCACTGTTCTAAAACAGAATCCCGGTCAGTAGCTTAGAGTTTCATGAAGTTCTTTTACCACTAGAATGTTTTTATTCGTTGGTGCTGCTGTAATAGTTGAATAATATGCAATGGTGAAGAACAGCTTTTAGTGATTATTCTGTTCTCTGGCTAATTCTGTTACATGATAACTAGGGTTTCAAGAATATCATTATTCTTGGAAATGGGCTGCTTTCTATGCCTCTTGAAACCCATAAAATAGTGGGGAACAGCTCATTTCTACTGGATTTACAGCGATTTTGCTGAAGCCCAGTTTTTACTGGTTTTCAATTATGAGGTTTTGTCAGAAAATACTGTTTCTTGAAAGGACATTTTCATTTTGGGAAAGTAATTGAAATGATGCTGTGTGGCAGCTCACTGACTCATTTCTGTCTCCATTACTGTAGGGACAAGCTGTGGGGTGTCTGTATCTCCATTCTGGCTCTCCTGCCTCGAGTTCTCAGGTTTATGCTACAGAGCCTGCGGGTGAATAGAGCTGGACCCGAGGAGCTGCCTATTGTGGGCCAGCTGCTTCGTTTGCTGCTTCAGCACGCGCCCCTCAGGACTCACATGTTGACCAATGCCATCTTGATCCAGCAAATCATTAAGAATATCACGGTAAGATGCATGGCAAAGGTTTTTATACAACTGGCATCAGAAGAGACATGTGGTTGGGGCATGGGAGTCCGGTTAACTGTGCTCCTGGAATCAGTGTGATTTCTCATCTTTTCCTGCTACTTTCTTAATTAGAAGATTTTGATTATTAGTAGTAAAAGCCTTAAAATTCTCAAACTGAGCTAAAGTAGCAGGACCTACGTCAGAAAAGGAATCAACACCAGGGTACTCATACTATCTGGATTCTGTTAATCTCGTCAAGCTTGCTTTCGTAGCAGAGTGTGTGTGTGTGTGTGTGTGTGTGTGTGTGTGTGTGTGTGTGTGTGTCTGAGTGTCTGACATAAAATGCCCAACAAATTGTAGCTATCATTAAGAAAATCATTTAGCAAGGATAAACTTCAAGACAATTTCTAGTCTTTTAGTCCACTGGAGAGTAAGATGAAATTGGAAGAAGGAAGGCACGCCTTCAACTTTGATGGTTGGGTTCTCTGGTTGCCTTTGTGTGCTAGGGGGACAGCTCTTTTGGTATGGGATTCATTGTGATTGGGAAGAACTTTTTTTTTTAATAGATTTTTTGGGGGTTATTAATAGTAGTAATACTTCAGAGCTAAAGAATTTACATATGCGATAACCTAGGTGCTCTGACTTTTCCAAGTAGCCTTCAGTAAGTAATGTAACATTTAGAAAGGGGAAGGAGTGTTAAGAATGATTGTTCTGTAGTTGAAGAATCAGCCTCTGTTACAGATGGATAAAAATTGTTAACCAGCACAACAAAATTCTGATGATTATAGTGTAAAGATTGTGTGGTTGTAGAATTCTCTATAGAATAGGGCACAGCCTCCCAACTTAGTTGGACTACCACCCCCTTTGCAGGAAAGGATGTTTGTGAATAAATAGCACAGCTGGATCATTCCATCACCCCTCAGGGCAGTATACCCCCTTTGGGAAACACTGGTTTAGGGATAGTTAATAGTTTCTAACATACCCAGAAAGGAATAGATCAGACTAGAAACCAGTACTACTTTGGGATAGAGCTAAGAATTTTCACTATGGTCTAATTAGCAAATCCCCCCCCCTTTTTCTTTTTTGCTTTTTGGGTCACACCTGGCGATGCATAGGGGTTACTCCTGGCTCTGCACTCAGGAGTTACTCCTGGCGGTGCTCAGGGGACCATATGGGATGCTGGGAACCGAACCCGGCTTGGCCGCGTGCAAGGCAAACTCCCTACCCGCTGTGCTATCTCTCCAGCCCCCCAAGTCCCCCCTTTCAAGATTTCCTGTGGTGATTCACTGTCACTGTCCTCCCGTTGTTTATAGATGGGAATAGCTACTCTTTTAATTGTATATAAAAAAAATACTACCAGGTAAGGAGCAATTTACTTTCTTTCAATTTGTTTTGGGCCACACCTGGTAATGCTCAGGGCGTACTCCTTGCTGTGTGCTCAGGGATCACCCCTGGTGGTACTCAGGGAACCCTTTTGGATGCTGGGGATGGAGCCTGTGTTGATCCCTTACAAGAGAAGTGCCCCATGTGCTGTATTTTTGCTCCAGCCTACCACTAAATATTTCTTAAATCCCTCTTGTTTCTCCGTAGACTCTGAAGAGTGGAGGTGTGCAGGAGCAGTGGCTCACAGACTTGCATTTCTGTTTCAGCATGTATATCACCGGTCATCCGCAGGGGCCTAGTGCGTTGAGTGCAGTGTATTGAAGAGTCACCGTGCTATCTTGTGTTTGAAATTGCTTATTCATATCTAATTTTGGAGAGACTGATGTAATAAATGTTTGTCATTAAAGCTGAACTTTTAAAAAAGTTGTTTACCAACCTTCCTTTGTACTGAAGAAAATGATGCTTGATTCCCACAAAGGCACATAAGTGTTTTCCTGGACCAGCACAAGATATTGGTTACAGGTGACAATATCTTGCTTTTCACAGAAGCTGAGTATTTACAAAATAGGGTGACCAAATGGTACCTTTCTTGTGGAATTTGTCTTCCCATCCAGCAGACTTCATTCAGACAGTAACAGAAACCACTGTGTTTTGTTTTGTTTGGCTTGCTTGTTCGGAAGTTATTATATACATCACATTTTGTTTTTCTTTGTGGAGTTACATTTATGCAAGTTTTTTGGTCCTTTATTCTAAGGGGCAGGATTTCAAGACAAGTCATGGTTTTGGATTTTCATACCTTAATGATGCTTGGTCTGAGCTATATATATAACTACTTTAAATAATTTTCTGTTAATGGTTCATGATGGTCCTTAAAAAATTATGTGGTGATTTGATACTTCAAAATTAAGTAGAAACATTTAAACTATCAAGAAAATATAAGAAACTCGAACATAAAAACATATGGAGGTGACATAACACTGTTTTCTTATCTCAATGTTAGGACTGGGTTGCAGTGAACTTAAGAAAAAATGGAGGTAATCCTAGAAATATTTGGGAGCCAAGTAACATCACTGTTTATGGCTATTTACATTCCTGTAGTAGTTTTGCCCTTAAGAAAAAGCCCAGCGTCGCTGAATTTTATTGGAAGTCATATTTTAGAGAGCTAGAGTATGTGTAGTTAGCAGTTTCCCCCAGCAGTGGTTAATGGCAGTTTTGACGAGCTCTGCAAATTTGTAAGAAAATGTAAGTAGATGCGAAGGCCTGAATCGGTACATTGTGCAGGAAGAGTCTATAAACTTGGACTATTGACTACTTTCGTGGTCCAGCGCTGCTGCTGCTCAGCAATGAGAGTGCTATTTCTAGAGGTTATGTGGGCAGCGAAGTGCTTTTCGTTGGCAACAAGAGATCTGTCAGCTATATAGTAAATCCTAAATCCGTGGTCTTACAAATTTCTGCACACTGTTGTGGTCTGAAATTCAAGGCTGATGTCAGAGTGAGGAAGTGTGGGATCTGTCATGAAGTTTGTTTGTGTTAAATCCCAGAAAGTAGATAAAAGCAGCTGCTGTAGTACAGGCTCCTCTGCATCTTGTTTATATTCTTAATGGAGCCTGCTCCAGCTGGCTGAAATCTACCCAACAGTCCCTTTCATGCTCACATTCTTGGTTTCATGTAGACGTTACCGTTAATTACAATTTCTTCCTTCTACATTACTGACGCATGAAGGCAGACAGCTAGGCATATTTCACAGGCATAGTCTACCCATGTCTTTTCAGATAAGGTTTTATGGAACAGTGCCGTGTAAGAATAGAAAACAATCTGATATTCTTGTCTAGTAAGATTCATAGTAAGATTCTAGTAAGGAACGGATAGTATCAGTTTCCAAAGATGTAACAGGTAATTAAAACTGCAGTGGCTATTCCAGTTCTCCTGGACATAGTCTTCCTCCACGGGCAGTAGAAGCTTTGCTTTGTTTTTTCGATTGAGTAGCTGATTGAAGATTATAAGAAAAATTCTTTGACTTTCCGTTGTCAAGTAGATGTATACACTGTAAGTTGCTCACTGCAAAAACCAGAGATACTTGAGTTATTTTATTTTTTTATATATATATATATATATATTTTTTTTTTTTTTTTTTTTTTTGCTTTTTGGGTCTCACCTGGCTATGCTCAGGGGTTACTCCTGGCTCTGCACTCAGGAATTACTCCTGGCAGAGCTCAGGGAACCATATGGGATGCTGGGAATTGAACCCCAGTTGGCCGCATGCAAGGCAGACGTCCTGCCCGCTGTGCTATCGCTGCAGCCCCACTTGAGTTATTTTAATGTCAAAGGAGTTGTTCCTTGGTGAGGAATAAAGGTATAGATTTAGTCTACCATTGGTACTAAATAAGGCAATCATCAGTTTTTGTAGAGACCGGTAACCACATTTCATTTTCCTATTATCTTACAAATAGGTGACGTCTCTTCGAGGAAGGGCCTTTTCTGGGAGTGGGGAGACACTTGAAGTGAGATTGGAACCATGATCTTAAGTCTGCCTGAAGATCTAGCACCCTCCCCCGAATGATTCCTGAGCACAGAGCCAGGAGTAACCCCTTAGGGTCACTGGGTGTCACCTGAAAACTTTAAAAAAGTTAAGAATCTGTCTCTCGGTTTTTTGGGTTGGGTTTGCAGTGTTTTTAAACATCAATAAAAGTTCTTAATGGGCTGCTGTTTGGGAGCTCCAGCATATTTTGGCTCCCTTGATTGTCTTGAATTGTCACTTGCATGCCCCATTATAGGGGTGTGAAATCTTGCAGTTATTAGTTACCATCACTATTACCTGAGTTTTGGTTATGCCATTTGTTGCAACCTTTTCTTCTTTCTTTTCTAAAAACATAGTTTTAATCACTTTGATTTTCATAATCAGCAACAACAAAAAAACCCTTTGGTTTTTAAGGAGGTAAGACCCCCAATTTAGATTTACTGTTACCTGTGCCATTAACAGGTACTGTGCTTCTATTCTGTGCGGGTAGCTTGTAGGGAGGTAACTGCGGGGTGAGGTGGGAGACGTGTTTAGCTGCTTCACAAGCACATGTCCAGAAATACTCCAAGATGCCTGATATTTGTCATATCCTCCTTCCTTTTTTTGCTTCCCCTCTTTAAAGGTAAAAAGGTAAAGGCCCTCCCGTTGATCGTCGATTTGCTCGAGCGGGCCCAGTAACGTCTCCATTGGAGACTTTGTTGTTACTGTGTCTGGCATATCGAATACTCTGGGTAGCTTGCCGGGCTCTCCGAGAGGCTCTTTAAAGAGGTAGAAAAAACTACTAAAGAATCCTTTCAATTTGAAATTGGGAACAACAATCTTGACCCAAATACTTGAGCTTCTACAAATTCCAGATACTTAGGCTGAAATTGGTGAGCAAAAATCAGGCTATTAGAATTCTCAAAGTTAAAACTTTTCTCTTTCACAGTAAAGACAAAAATTAATACTCCCTCTAAGTTCAACTTGGCAGCTGTGTTTCCACAACACAGAAACTGTTTAAGTTGAACCCATTTTGATAAGAATTATTTCTACATATTTCTGTATTTAAAAAAAATAGAATATATCTAAAGTGTAGCAAGTTTATCCTCCCAGGTTAATGCTTCATATGTGTTGGTAGGCCTAACAAAACATTGTGTTCTCTCATGTTAAGTTTAGGGTTAGGAAGAAATGTACTTTGTTCTTTTCTTTTGCTTTTTGGGCCACACCCAGCAATGCTCAGTTATTCCTGGCTCTACTAAGGAATTAATCCTGACGGTGCTTGGGGTACCATATGGGATGCCAGGGATTGAACTCAGGTTGGCCGTATGCAAGGCATAATGCTCAGAGGTCACTCTTGGCTCTGCACTCAGGAATTACCGTTCTTCATTTTTATGCCGCTCAGAATCACTTATATGGGACAAGAATCCATGATCTGGGAATGGAGCAGTGGTTCAGAAAGGTGCTTGCCTTGTACATGGGTTCAGTCCCTAAGTGCAGAGCCAGGAGTAAGCCCTGAACACTGCTGGGTACCATCCAAAAACAGAATCCATGATCTGTTTTGAATGGCTTATTCTTTTAACTGAGTCCTTTAGGAACACACACAAAATCTTGATGCCTTTCAATTTTTTAATAACCCTAAAATTTTGTCCTGAGACAAAATGAAAAAAGCTTAATTTATAACATTTGATTATATCATGCTACTTCTGGTGTTAGTTACATCGAACATTTCTGTTTTTAAAACTACTCCATTTACTTCAGTATGGTGGCATAGTGAAAGGTCTTTTTTTTTTTTTAAACACAAACTTCCCTGAGAATTAGGGCCCATCATTCTCACTACCCCTCCACCATTCCCTGATCAGTCTGCCTATATTACATAAGTTTCCCAAATCTTATTAAAGTTTTGGCAGTAATTACTCTCCCCTTCGCCAGGTTTCTCTTCCTATCAAAAACTAAATGAATGTTAAAGTTCATGCTGACAGTCATTGTTCACCTTCCCAGCTGCACTCTGCTTGCAGATTCAGTGTGGGTCAGAGAAGATGGGGGGAGCGTGTTACCATAGCCACCCGTGAGAAACACTGGACTTGGCATTAACCGCTGACAGCACTGAACTTATCACCCGAATTTAATGCTGCTATGAATGAAGGAGCTCCGAGTTAAACACTAGAACTGCAACTGAGGAAAAGTTCTCTGGGCACCTGTATAAGTGAGAGTGTACACTGTTGAACCTGTGCCGTGCGTGCTAGGAAACACCTAATGGGGCACGGGTTTGGGGTCCTTAACAGGCATAAGCCAGAATGTGTGGTTTACAGACTACTATTCTGTCTTTGGGAAACACATGAGTCTTGTTATTTTTGGCTTTTGGGCCACACCCTCAGGGGACCATATGGGATGCCGGGGATAGTACCCAGGTCGGCTCTACCTGCTAAACTATCTCTCTAGCCCCCCAAACAGATGAAAGAATCTTAAGGTGATGGAACAAGAGATCCCAGGTTTACTTAAAGTAGCATTTTAATTTTTGTGTGAATTAAGTATCTAAAAATGTGTCGACAGTTACCGTTTATTGCTTCTGAAGGGACATTAGCCTCTTGAGGAGCCAGGGTATTGACTAAAGTAATAATTCCATGACAGGGGCATGAAAAAGATAGACATACCTGAAAGCACGTCACCATTGGAGACCCCTTGCAATATCTTCTAATTCCTCCCATCTTTGGGGATAAAATGAAAAAGGGAACTGCTTTCCCAGTTTTCTCCCCAGTGTGCTTTGCCAATGCAGTGGCTGCCTTACCTGAGTTGAGATGCAGCACAGAATGGGATTTTGAAGATCTTGTGGGTTGATGCACTTTTCCTTCTTTAGAACAACCTGAAATTAACCAGCAATAGTTATTTCTCTCTGATCAATGATATCTGTACCCTGAACAAATTCTGAATTCCTTATTGAGGTAGAAGTTTGTGTTTGTGTGTGTCTGCCAAGATAAATTATATACGGTGTTGAAATGTCATGCAGGTCCAGGATAAAGTCCTGAGATTTGGCTGCCTGAACTATAGATCTTGTTTCTAAACATACCCTGGCTCAACTTTTTTGTTGGTGACTGAGCCAGACTTATTCTTTGCTGAGTTTATTTGGATGGGCTCTTTTCCAGGGATAAAAAATGTTCCAATTTATAGCAATTCATCTGCTGAACAAGCATTTACTATAGTGCTGAGATCTGGGGGCATTCCCACAGATGGCCATCCATACTAATTAGCCTATGAAAGGCCAAAGGAAGTGAGGCGGGCAGGGTCTGCCTCTGTCTCCAGTTCCAAACAAGTTTTCCACAGAGACCCAAGAAATGGTTTGGAGGGATACAATAGGCTTTCAGTCTAAAGCTCAGTAGAAAATCTCTTAACTGGAAGACATTCTAGGTTGAGAGATCAGTGTGCCTTACAAAACTGATTCTGACCCAGAATTGCTGGAAGGGAGTTACTAAATATACTGAGAATGTTTTTGGTGCTTGGACGTATGGTAAATTCCTGAATGAAAAATTGTCCCATGTAAATCCCACTTGAGATTCTGTTGTGACACTCGACGTATTTCTTACAAAGAACAAAAGGCACAGAAGGACAATTACCATAGATTTGCTTGAGTACCGAATGCCTTGTAGGCTTTGTGTCCAAGCCACTCTTGGATGGACACTTCGTGGTCCTGCTAACTGCAGTGGTCTTAGGGAGTTTTATTTCCAGTTCCTTTCTCCAAATCTGGAGCAGAAGAGCCACGCACTCTTGGTTCCGTCTGTCCACATCTCTGGCTCCAAGCTCCTTCATGTGCAAAAGTTGGGACAGGTGTTTTCTTACCTGGTAGCTGTTGGGGTCAGAAGAGGGTATAGGCTTTAAGATTCATACTGAAAAACCAAAAGCTGTGGGTATAGGATTTGATGAGCAATTGGGAAATTCATCTAGGCTTCCAGATCTAATGTCAGGGGCAGTGTGTTGAATGTTGTTTTCTTTTAACATCAGCAAATGCTTTCTGAACTAAGAATCAGTTGAGTTGTTCTTGGTGTAGAACAGGGGACAGTAAACAGATGCAGAATAAGCAGTACTACATAAGAGCAAGGGGCTCGATGACATGATAAAGATGTGGAAATAATTGTAGTTGGGCAAGACTTTACATACCTGATATTTTGCTAGGCTTCAAAGCTTGCCAAGGCAGAGATGGGCATTCTAGGCAGCAGAATTCACACTGGCAGAGGTGAATGCTTTTGTGCAGAAAAGTTAGTAGTAGTATTTGGTGAGGGAAAGGACAAAGGGTGAACTACATTGTGGAAGGAGCCAACTTTTGTTCACAACCTGTTTAATAGCAGACACTTGTCCTGTGATTAGGCCTAAAAAAGTTTTTTTTTTCAGTACACATTTCAGTGTGGTAAAGCCTGAATAACAATGACATCACCAAGATGGTGACAAAGGTCCTGACTTCACAGTACTCAGGGACAAGACAACGAAAATACGGGGGTAAGGTTGAAGCACCCTTCTGCAATAGAAGAGACCAAGCTAGAACACATCGGAAGGCTAAAAGTAGCAGCTACATCTAATCAAAGTGCCATCCATCCTCCATTGCCTACCCAGGCCAGCTTAGCATTGCATCAGAAGGTCTGCCAAAGAGATACTACAGAGTAAGTCAGGGCACTTGCCTCAAATGTGGCCAGCTCTGGTTTGATTTGGTCCCCTGCATACCACTAGGAATTACCTTTGGGCATTCACTCTACACCCTCCTTTCTCCCCAGTAAAAGCAAAAGGTTAACCTTGAGCCTGCATTTCCTCCAGTGGGAGAAGAGCCCATGGTGGGCATCTCCCTCTTTTTGGAGCCCTACTCTGATCCTGCCCCACAAAGAATCAGGGAAACTGATAGAGAATTTAGAATCTGATCATTGGCTGGATGTCCACTAGCCAACCTTGGTGCCCTTGCCTAAGAATAATCCCATGTACATAAGAGTATCGGAAGCAGGCATATCCAGAAACTCAAACTGAAGTTACTTTATTACCATCTCTGTAGAAAGGAACCTGTAAAGACTGTGTAAAGATATGGCACTCCATGACTATTACAAAAAAAAAAACTAGGAGTAATCCTCTTATAGGGGTTTAGGGAACTCAAGAGCATACAGATCAACCAAACGAGATTAGGAGAACAATGTATGAACAAAAGAGTTTAAGAACTAGAAATAATTTTACAAGAACCTAGAAATACTAGGGTTGAAAAATACAGTAACTGAATTCAATAGAGAGCTTCAAAAGCTGGCTTGATGATGGCAAAGAATCGGTAACCTACAAGACAGGCATTTGGATTACCTTGTCAGAAGAAAAGGAATGAAGAGTGAGGAAAGCCTGAGGGAGTTTGGGGACAGACAGACACATGCACGCACTTGCCAAATCCATGGGAATCCCAGAACACACACACACACACACACACACACACACACACACACACACACACACACACACATCTATGGGAATCCTGGAAGGAGAAAGAACAGTATATTGACAGTTATGAGTTGCTCCACACTAGGAGCATACAGAGCACGTCTGAGGATCCAGGAGCGATAGCACAGCGGGTAGGGCGTTTGCCTTGCACGCAGCCAACATGGCCGACCCGAGTTCGATTCCTCCGCCCCTCTCGGAGAGCCCGGCAAGCTACCGAGAGTATTCGATATGCCAGACACAGTAACAACACCAAAAACAGTACCACCAAAAACTGTGGCAATGGCTGAAAACCTACTGCTCTGTCACCCAGATTCTCCTTGAGGTATCTATCACACCCTCTGCTCTGGGGCAGGGAACCCAGGGCTTGGTGTGTCCTAGCTCAGCCATCAGTGGGCAGTGCTCCAGTATGTATGTGACGGGGAGTTCGGAGCAGTCGGGATAATGGCCTCCACTCCCCCGGCTCAGGGAGGATACAAATACAAAACTCTCCCGGTTTGTGGAGGATCCCAGTGTGCCCTGGGGTCCCTTTCGGCCCCAGGCTCAGGTCTGCTGAGCCACCCCACACCAGGCTGGAGAGGGGCTGGCAGGAAGGTGGGTTACACACGTTCAGATAAAAAGTTGCGTTTGGGCGATGCAGCTTTCCAGCCCATCCTATCTTCATTCTTATAACCATCAAATCTCGGGCTGCTGAGATAGTTGGGGTGAGGTGCAACTTTACAAGCAGGAGGCCTGGCTTTCGTCCCTGGCACCACATGCTCCCCAGAGTCGCACAGGTTCTCAGGGACCAGCCTGAGAACTGGAGCTAGAAGTCACCTCTGAGCACTGAGCAAGGCGTTATCCCAAACCACCCCCATGTGCCCCTCAGTCAAACCTCAACTAGCAGTAACATTCACACAAGACCTCCTCCTGGTCGGAGATTGAACCTACTCATCCGTAGCCCATGCATTTTCCAGTTCCACTGTTACTCTTCTTCAGCAGGCCCTATTGAGGCAGCCTACCCTTTTGGCACTTAGGAGCCAAGACTTGCTCCCCAGTCCCTGTTCAGTGTATCTGAGAGTGTCAGACCCTCAACATGGCCCAAGACAGCACCTTGAGCTCCTGTATCTAAAGTGGGAGGTGCAGGCTCCAGAGATGGTATAGGGATTGAGCGGTTGACACTATGCCAACCCCCCAACATGACATATGTTCGCCTGATCCCAGCTAATGGTCAGTTCTGAGCAGAGCCAGAACTAGCCCCTGTGCACTGCTAGGTGCAGCCCCGAACCTCAAGTAAACAGATGTATAAAGCTGTAATTGAAGTAATTGAGGCTTTTTCACCCTCCCTAGGCATGGGACTCCCTGCAGCGGGGCCGGCAGCAGGCCCTGGGGTGGTACAATGATGCAGTCAGAGGGGATGGCAGTTCTGCCTGCTCAGCTGGGCACGGAGTATTAGCCCCCATTCTTGTGTGTGTGAGGGGGGATGACTGAAGACTCATTTGCTGCTGGGGCCCTTCCTGACAGGACCTGTCAGCTTCTGACTTCAAAGGAGGCGCGGGCAGGCTGACGGGCAAGCAGCCTGGTCAGGGAACGCTGCAGGGCCTGTCACGGGGATCGGGGGCCTGAGTGGATCCTGATTTTCAGCTGAAACACTGGGGGGGCTGGGGGAGACTGAGCAGTGGCATATGGCATCCCGCTATGGTGAGTCTTCATGCCCTATGCTGACACCCTGGGCCAGCGTAAGGCCACCAGGAGGAGCCCAAGGCCTGGCCTCACCTGCAACTAGCACAGTCTCCCCTGAAAATAGGAAGGGCCCTCGGATTGGCACATCTGCACCCCTGGGATGAATCACGTTTCCTGTGAGAGAACCAGCTGTCTTGCTGTCTTGACACTCCCGTGTGGTCGGGAGGGCAAAGGGGAGCAGGCAAGGGGCTCCCAGGGTTCAGAAATGCAAACTCTTGTGCTGGCTGAGGTCTCTCTCTCCCCACCCACCAAGATACTCCCCATCGCTGCCTTAACAGCGCCCTGCCCCCAGTTTCCCGGTACCTCCTCTCAGGCTCACCTGCAGAATCCCAGGCCACAGTGTTTCCACCTGTGGCCGATAACGTCGACCTTGTCAGCGCCACACCGGGCCCCCGTTTTTGGGAAGGCCCCAGCCCGAGCCGGGGATGAAGGAACTGGCGAGGTCTCTGGGAAAGCGCAGCCGAGGATCCCCTCGCCCCATCCCCACCGTACCTCTCTGCAGCTGCTTGTCTATCTCAGGAAGCCCCTTCCCCACTTTCCGAGCATGGTGGAGGCTCCCACAAGACTCCGGAATGAACTCCAGCTGCCCAGCCCCTGGGCCTGTCGTCTTTTCCACCTTTCCTGCTCCTGGCCTGTGCGCGGGTCCCGGGACTCGCACTCAGAACCTTGTGGCAGCTCAGTGGCTTCCGATCTCCCACACACCCACACTCCAGGCTACAGCAACCCAGAGTGGCTGAAAACAACCCTCTGTTCCCCAGGCCCCCGGGTTAGGCAAAGACAATATCCTACACGAACAGTGCTCGGGAGCTCACTGCCAGACCCGGTGGTGGTGCTGGGGACCCAGCCCGGGGCTTCTGCGTGCAGGGGCCCTGCCCCACTGGCCGGCGCCCTCTCCAGCCCCGGAGAAGGACCCCGTTTCCTCTGCACCCACTCTCCTGGGGGCGTCCGGTCTTCCGCCACCTCCCCAACGGGGTACCCGCTGCCCGTGCCTGGCGTGCCCCGCGCCTACCTCCTCCAGGCGCGCTGGATGACGGCCGCGGCCCTGTTCTTGCGGCGGAAGAGCTCCTTCCTGCTCCGCTCCCTCTGGATGAGCTGCAGCCGCAGCTCCACGGGGAGGAGGTCCACGTCCACGCCCTGCCCGGGCTCGGGGGTCGCCGGGGCCTCCCGGGGCCGGGACTGGGCGCGCGGTCCCCGTTTCCTGCCCGCGGCGGGCACCGCCTCTGGGTTCTGGGCCGCGTCGGGGGCCCCGCGTCCCGCGGGCTTGTCGGGGGGCGTCGTTTTGTTTCTGGGGGTCCGAGGGTGGGGAGGCTGCGGCCCGGCGGGTGCCGCCTCGCCCTTGGCACTGCCCGGCCGGCTGGAACCCGCCGGGGAGCGCCGGCCTCCTCTGAGCTCCTGCACGCGCCGTCTGGGGCCGGCGCCCCTGGGCCGAGGGGCTGCGGGCTTGTGCGGGGGCCCGTCGTGCGGCGCGGGGCCCTCTCCCGCCCCGTCGGGCCCGCGGACGCCGGACGCGGCTCTGCCCCGGCTGCACCGCTGCTCGCCCGGCGCTGTCTCTCCTCGGCGCCGGCCTCCAGCCCCGCGGGGGGCCGCCGGGATGAAGTGGACACACGCAGGCTGGCCTTTGGGATGTTCTCTGGAGGGTTCTTGGGGAGACAGGGAAAGAGGAGAAGATTTTACTGCTACAAACTTGCATGGGGCAGCTGCGATCGTCGATAGTCGTTCGGAGAAACGACTCAGGTTTGTCCGTCAGCCTTAACCTTGAGGGCGGTGTTGGACACCCCCACCCCCGCTCCCCCACCCCGAAGAGTGGGTGGCTCCCAAGTGTGCTCAGGTCAACCTGGCCGGTGCCAGTGCTAAGGCATGACACTCGGTGCTTCTCAAGCCCAGCAGTGCTGTAGGCCACCAGAGCCACCCCATGCTCGGGAGGGTGCTGGGGAACTGAACTAGGTCACAGGGTCCTAGCCTGCCCGCCCTCCCTCCCGTCCTTCCTCCTTCCCTTCTCTCCCTCCACCCCCATATTGCAGAAAGTCAACTAGAACCAAGACCTTGCATATACATTTGTTTCTCCTAGGGCACAGGTTGGCAATTCTGAAACTATACGTCAAGTAGGACTGAACAAATAAGCACTTATCTAAGAATATCATAGACAATTGGTACTGCATCTTCTACTCTAAGAGGAAAAAAATCAGAGAAGAGAGAATAAACTCTTAATGTTGAAAATTGAAAGTAAAGTCATGGAGTGTTTGTGTGTGTAGTACACACACACACATATACATATATATACACACTGATGCTGAAATATAAATATTTCTTCGCTCAGTCTGCTACAAAAGTAAATAGGTACAATGACACTCCAATATACCCTCTCAAAAAGGTTGGGTGCATCCTTTGCATGCTGGAGGCCCAGGCTTAATTCCTCAAGAGCACTTCCCATAGCAGCTTAAGCCATTCAAAATAAGATGGCTTAGGGGCCAGAGAAATAGTACAGCACGATGGTAGGGTGCTTGTCTTGCATGAAGCCAACATGGGTTCGATCCCCAAAAACCATATGGTGCCCCAAGAGCCACCAGGACTGATTCCTGAGTGCAGAGCAAGGAGAGATCCCTGAGCACTGCTGGGTGTCTCCCTCTTCCCCCACCAAAAGATCAATCAAAATTAGATGGCTTATATTATATTGAGCGATAGCACAGCAGGTAGGGAGTTTGCCTTGCACGTAGCCAACATGGCCGACCCGAGTTCGATTCCTCTGCCCCTCTCGGAGAGCCCAGCAAGCTACTGAGAGTATCTCGCCCGCACGGCAAAGCCTGGCAAGCTACCCGTGACGTATTCGATATGCCAGACACAGTAACAAGTCTCACAATGGAAACGTTACTGGGCCCGCTTGAGAATATTATATTGAATAGAATATTTTAGGCAGATTTCCAAGCTAAAAAGCCAAAAAATAAATAAATAAAAAAGAGAAGAAGCAGCTGAGCTGAGGGGCTGTAGAGATAGTGCAGTGGGCAGGGCGTTAGTCTTGTATGTGGTTGATCCAGGTTTGATCCCTGGAAGCAAATATGGATGGTCCCCAGAGCTCCTCCAGGTGTGATTCCTGACTGCAGAACCAGGAGTAAACCCTGAGCATTGCTGGATGTGTCCCCCAAACAAAAACAAAAACACCGAACGAAAAAAGAAGCAGAGGCAATTCTACATGGCAATCAATCATGAGAGTCTGGTTAAGGCTGCCTTGAAGAAATGAGGGAATGTATATATCAAAGCATTCAATCACCCTTAAGTGTGTCATAGCTGACATACCATTCCTGTTATTCAGTTCTGGAATTACAGACTTGCATACTTGACTAGATCAGCAGTGTAGTTTGCTCTTAGTAAACTGAAGATCTATGGATCATGCATGGAACAAGCACTCTATAATCATTTTCTTTCTATTCAAAACTGCCTTAGTTAAGGAAACTCAGGGAGAGAGATTGGGTTGTCCAGTCCTTGAATTGGGTCTCCATGAGATCTCAGATGTCATTACTGGCATCCATGAGGTCAAAACTATGTTCATGATAACACTATTATTTGCCTTTTTAAAAAAAATATGGAATGCTTCATGAATTTGCGTGTCACCCTTGCACAGGGGCCATGCTAATCTTCTCTGTATCGTTCCAATTTTAGTATACATGCTGCTGAAGCGAGCACTTACTTGCCTTTTTCACTGTTGTGTTTCCACTCAGATTTCTGTTTGAGCCATTATGTAATTGATGAGAGGCTTGGCATGTTTAAATGGCTTTGGACATCTAACATAGTATATATTGAATACCTATTTTCCTTCTAAGAACCTCCAGCTACGAGCACATCTCTTTGATTCCACTGTTCTTCCTGCATTAACATATGCCTCAGAGACCTGGACCCTACGAAAACAGGATGAGAACGCTACTTGGGTCTCTCAAAGAGGAATCGAAAGAGCTATGCTTGGAATATCACGATTCACTCAAATGAGAGATAGAATCCGGAGTTCTGATCTTCGTCAGCACTCAAGAATCAGGGACGCTGTCTCATTTGCCAAGACATCAAAAATCAAATGGGCTGGACACGTAATGAGGTTTACAGACAACCGCTGGACTAGAGCCATTACTGATTGGATTCCACGGGACATCAAAAGATCACGTGGACGCCCACCTACAAGATGGTCAGACTTCTTCGTCAAGACCCTGAATGATTGGTTTGAGGCTCTGCATGTTCCTAGAACGAACAGATACCACTGGGCTACGCTAGCACGCAACCGGGATGAATGGAGACGTTACTGGCACCCGCTCCAGTAAATGGATGAATAACGGGGATTAAGTGATTAAATGATTAAGTGATTTTCCTTCTGGGAAGCTGGAATTTTCATCAATGCAAAAAAAGAGAGAGAATCTCTATGTTCCCTGGAGCTCTGGTTTAGATGTGCTTTCCTGATAGACAAGAGTGGTCCAGTTGGTTGCTACAATTCATAGCTGGATGAACTGAGTTCTGGGGGGACTTTACTGGGAGAAGACATATCCAAGCTTGTACCTGATTTCCTCTTAATTTTGCTCCATGGGTCTGTCTCCTTGTATCCTTGTTAAAATATGTCATAGCTGTGAGTGCCACTGTATGCTGAGTACTGTGGGTATTTCAAGCAAGTTATTAACACTGGAAGTGGTCTTGGGCACTAAACATATACCCACACTCATGTGTGCACACACTAAGTACAATCAAGACAAAATGAACTTCAATGTTCCATGCACAAATATAGATCATGGTCACGGTCCTCCTGTTGTTCATCGATTTGCTCGAGCAGGCCCAGTAATGTCTCCATCGTGAGACTTGTTACTTTGTTTGGCATATCGAATACATCACGGGTAGCTTGCCAGGCTTTACTGTGCGGGCGAGATACTCTCAGTAGCTTGCCGGGCTCTCTGAGAGGGGCAGAGGAATCAAACTCGGGTCAGCCATGTTGGCTGCGTGCAAGACAAATGCCCTACCCGCTGTACTGTCGCACCAGCCCAAAAACTAAAGATAAAAATCTTCTTCTGGGGGTAGGATGAGGATGATTTGAACAACATCCAGCAGTGCTTTGGGGTTACTCCTGGATCTGTGCTCAATGGTTCTCTGTGTTCCTGGTTTTGTGCTCAGTGGTTGGTGGTGTTTGGGGAATTATATGTGGTACCAGGGGCCAAACTATGGTTGGCCACGTGTAAGGCAAGTGTATTAACCTCTGTACTCTCTTTCTGATCAAGAAAATCCTTGAAAGAATCCAGGAAAAAATAACAGTCTACCCAGGAACATGATGGAAGAACACCTTTCTAATACAGAGGTTTTCTCATGAGAAACTGGAAGTTGGAGGAAAGTAGCACCATCTTTTGAAACAATGTAGCACTGTCCACCCAATGTTCATTGATTTGCTCCAGCAGGCCCAGTAACGTCTCCATTGTGAGATTTGTTGTTACTGTGTTTGGCATATCAAATATGTCATGGGTAGCTTGCCAGGCTTTGCCGTGCGGGCGAGATACTCTCTGTAGCTTGCCGGGCTCTCCGAGAGGGGCGGAGGAATCGAACCTGGGCCGTCCGGGTTGACCGAGTGCAAGGCAAATGCTCTACCCGTTGTGCTATTGCTTCAGCCCTTTTGAAAGTGCTAAAGGAAAAGAACTGCCAGGAGGGAACTCTCTATCTGCCTCGCCTATTCTTCAGAAAATGAAATAAAAGCATTTTCACATGAAGGAAAACTAAAAGGATGTGGTTCTCATATTGTTGAATGTCCTCAAATGTCCTGAGTATTGGCTAAAGAAAGCCATTCAAACAGAAAAGAAGTGATATGAAATTTGGAGTCCCAGGAAAGAAGGCAAAACAATAGAAAAATAGAAATATGAGTATAAAGACTTTTCATGAACTTTATAAATCAAATTTGATGACTGAAATAAAACCAGAGCACCCTCTGGTATCCAGCCTATGATACACTAGTGCAGAAGAGGGAAGGTAAAGGTGTCTAAATGGAAGTGAGATTTCCATGACTCATGGAGTGAAATCATGTTGATACTGTATATTGTAATGTTTAGTGGGGCCACCACCAAAAGTATAGAAAGAAACACTGGGACTGGAGCGATAGCACAGTGGGTAAGGCATTTGCCTTGCACGCGGCCAACCCAGGTGCAATTCCCAGCATCCCATATGATCCCCTGAGCACCGACAGGGGTAATTTCTGAGTGCAGAGCCCGGAGTGAGGAGTGACCCCTGTGCATTGCTGGGTGTGACCCAAAAAGAAAAAAAAAGAAATATTCTCAAAGCCCCTATTAGCCAGGCAAGATGAACTCCTAAAAGATGTTCAGGTAATCAAAAGGAAAGGAAGAAGAGATAGATACACAGCAAATGTGAACTACAGGAATGGAAAATTAATAATAAAACAGCAGACTTAAGTACTGACATAATTTCCAGGTCGACAGTCTGACATCAATTTGCTCAAGCGGGCCCAGTAACATCTCCATTGCGAGACTTCTTGTTACTGTGTTTGGCATATTGAATACATCACAGGTAGCTTGCCAGGCTTTGCTGTGCAGGCGAGATACTCTCGGTAGCTTGCCAGGCTCTCCGAGAGGGGTGGAGGAATCGAACCTGGCTTGGCCAGGCCAGCCACGTGCAAGGCAAACGCCCTACCGCTGTGCTTTTGTGGGATGGTCTGACATAGGGTAACAAAAGCAATATACCTACCACTGGGCTTTCTGGAGTCTGTGCCTTGAACATCTGGAGAAAGCTGCTGTGCCTTCTGGGGGTCTCTGCTTGGAGGCCGTCTGCAGTCTTCTGGTTCAGGGCTCCGGGCTGCAATGCTGGCCGGAGGGAGTTTGCTGGGGGTCCTGCTCTCTCTGTCGGGCTCAGCCTGGCCGTTGGGTGGGGTCTGGGGCCTGCAGGCCTCTGGACTCAGCCTACCCTTTTGCTGTTCTGCTTCTCTTCGCTTGTTTTCTTCCTCTCGCTTCCTGGAAACACGTAAGAGAAAAAAAAGGAAAACGATGAAGAGAGAGACTCCAACTTTAAGAGGTTTCTGGAGTTGTTTCCTCTGGGCCTTAGATCTCAGAAATCAATGGAGCTGGAGGGTACACCAGTGCTGCTCACGGCCTACTCCTGGCTCTGTGCTCGGGGATCACTCCTGGTGGCGCTTGGGGGACCATATGGGGTGCTGGGACCAGCTATGTGCAAGGAAAGCATCTTTCCCACTGTACTATCCCACCTGTGAGAAGGATCTTGTAGCACAACTCAGCTCTAGTGAGCCACACATGACGGAGCGCCACAGAATTTTCCCTGTGAGTGCGGCACTGTCCCAAGGAATGGTGATCCCCAACCTGCTGTGTGACGTCTGGGGCTGCCTGTCATGAAGCCACTGTTTCCTCCTCCATCAGAAAGTACCTCTGAGTCCAACTGAGCCCAACAGAATAGCCTCTAATTTTTTATTTTTATTTAAAAAAGGACCATTGTCAAGCCTTAATGACTCCATGAAAAAAATTACAGAGCATCTTAAAATTGATTATAATATGCCTGTGAGTCATAACTCTACCATTAGGAGCTTGAGCTAATGAGCCAGCCCCACTGCTACTGCAGACGGGGTTCAGAAGGTGGGATGACTGTCAACAAGTCAGATACGCAAGTCAGGGAGATAGTTCTGAGGACTGGAGCATCTGCTTTGAGTGCAGGAAGTCCGGGTTCAATATGTGGCACTGCAAGATCTTCAAAGCACTGCCATGAATAACCTCCATCCCCAGCCACTCACAGGAAATAGCCCCTCAGCACTGCCAAGCAGGTTCCTCAAACTAACAAAAAAGCCAGGGGCTGGAATGACAGTCCAGTGGGTGGAGCATTTGCCTTGCATGTGGTTGATTCGGGTTCAACCCCCAGCACCCCATATGGTCCCCTGAGCCCACTAGGAGTGGTCCCTGAGTGCAGAACCAGAAATAAGCCCTGAGCAGTGCTCGATATGGTGCAAAAACAAACAAAAAACCAAACCAATACCAAAAGTCATACACTAATCACTGGTGGCTAAGCTAGAACCCTGGGGGAGGAACAACATAGCAGCAGAGGGCAGGAGAAGTGGGTGGCAGTGTAAGGCAGATGGGGGGTGAGGCCCAGGTCCAGAGAGAGATGAGGTGCTAGAAGATGAAGGGGATGAGTTATGGACAGAATTTTTCTGACCGGAATCTCTACTTAATAGGTATTTCTAAGGGAAAAAAAGGACGAGGGAAACTCAACATTTTTCCGAGCTTCCTATGTTTCAGTGATGCTGAAATGAGAACTGAGAGCTCGACTCTGCCTGAGGAGCCTAGGATGCTAGGAGAACCAAGAACTACCACAGAATCTGAGAAATTTTATGGTAACAGTTTGTGCAGTGGAAGTGCTGATGAGGTTTGCCTAGAAAAATCCAAAGGAAAGTCCTTGCTGTTGATTCTTATAGACGTGTACGAGTTTGCCAGGAATGAGCACTGTAGAAAGAAGGTCGGACTAAGGCATGTAGGTTGGAAGAGCTGGGCTCACTTTGCTTCTTTGGCTCTATGAACTGAGTTTGTTACTCACAGCAGGCCACCAATATGCAGTATGGTGAAACCTCTCCAATCAACTAATTTCATGAGAACATTGATGAGTGGAAACAATTGATTCCTGGCCAGGGCCACTATCTGCAGGATCTGCAAGGCCAACAACTGGTTCTCCACTGCCCAACCACATTGGGTTCACAGCCACGCCAACAGTCCTTCTGTAGGTGGGTGAGGTGTGGGCTGTGCCCTGTGACAGGAAGACGTCCTGCCAGGGTCGTCCCATGTTGGAAAAGGCCCCAGTCACCCATGACCATGAACTGGAATGAACAAACTGGAAAGTAACAAATCCAAATAATAGTTTAATACAAAATGTGCTGTGGTCTTTATTCACACATTTGATGGTGTTTCACGGCTGAATATTTTATTTCTTAGCCTTTAACAAATTCTTTTCTGTTTGCTTTGTACCACACCCAGTAGTGATCAGGGGCTAATCCTAGCTTGTTGCCATGGCTCACTCCTGGTGGTGCTTTGGGAACTGAATGGCGTTGAAAATCAAACCCAGACCTCCTGTGTGCAAACCACGTACTTTAACCCTTAAGGCTAGCTCCTTAGCCCTATTTTTCCCTTTTAGTTGGGGGAAGGGCACACGTATAGGTGCTCAGGGGCTAATTCTTGCTCAAAAGTAATAACCTGAGTGCCCAAGAACAGACGACTGGATAAAGAAACTATGGTGCATCTAAACAATGGAATACAACATAGCTGTCAGGAAAAACAAAGTCATGAAATTTGCTTAGAAATGGGTTAACTGGATGGACATGGAGAGCACCATGTTGAGTGAAATGAGTCAGGAGCAGACAGACATGGAATGACTGCACTTATTTGTGGGATATAAAAAAAAGCGTGAAACTATTACCCATAGACAATGGAAATAAGGGTGAGGAGGCCTATGGTTGGAAGCTTGTCACAAATGGGGGAAGAGGAGAGGGCAGTTAGGAGAAGGGACTGCTATGACAATGACAGTTGGGAATGAGCACTGTGGACAAGTACTGAGGGCTTGAATGGTAAAGAGATATACATGATAAACTTACTGTACCTGTACGGCAAACTATAATGACCATAAAGAGAGAGAGAGAGAGAGAGAGAGAGAGAGAGAGAGAGAGAGAGAGATCGTTTGGAGGTTTTCAGGGAACTATATGTGATGTTGAGGATTAAACCAAGATCTGATGGATGCAGAACAAGCACCTTACCCTGTATCATCTCCCTGGCCTTCAATTCCTTCCACTCCCCGTTACCATGATTTGAGTACTGTTAATGATACTTTCATGCATACATTATCCCAATACTATACCCACCATCGGGGGGGGGGGGAGCTGTTTTTTTAAAAAATCAGTACTGGGGGTGAGGTGGGAACACACAGTGCTGGGGATTGAACTCAGGGCCCATACGTACTGTATTTTAACAATTGAGCTGTTTTCCCCAGTCTATGTGACCCAACATTGTATCCCCAGCACCATTTGGAGTAAACCCAGCAATGTTCCAGGAGTGACCCCCAAGCACCATCGAGTGTGGACCAAAAACACACAAAAAACTCCCTAATCCCTAATAAGCTTGGGGCAGGAGCGAGGGCTGGTAGTCAGGCCTTTAGGCTAGGAAGTGACAGAGAGGAGACTTGGTCTCTCACAGTGGCAGGAGACAAACAATTTGTTGCTTGTGTGCGGGAGGGGGAGGATTCAAGAACAAGGGAGAGAAGAGAAAGAAGATGTGAGGCTGGGTCCTCAGAGAGCAGGTCCAGGCGGAGGGCGGATGGCTGTCTCTAGAGCTGGCTGAACCCAGAGCCTGTTCCAGCAGGCTGACTGGCACACTGGGGTGGGGTCTGGGATCTGGCCCAGCTAGACAGGTGTAGCCGGTACTGAGACCACACCTTGTGCAGGACAGCTCATGAGAACAGGATAGTCACCATGCCATAGCACCACAGGGAACTGGGTGCATCAATGCTGCCAACTCTCTGCGGGACTGACCGTGTGCACACCAGGTGCTTTCTCAACAGCAATCTGTCAGGATGCAGAACAAAGAACTAGATGTGAAAGCAAGAGCTGAGAGAGAGAGAGAGAGAGAGAGAGAGAGAGAGAGAGAGAGAGAGAGAGAGAGAGAGAGAGAGAGAGAGAAGAGAGAGAGAGAGAGAGAGAAAAGAAATACCAAGGCCCCAAGAGATCCAAGAGATGATGGGATTCGGGAATTCAAAGCACAACTTACTGAGATCCCGAGGGACAGGTTTGTGTCTGGCTGACACTTTGACGGAAATCCCCATGGGCCCACTATTTCCCCTCACAGGAGGCCTTTCCTCCTGTGTGGTGAAACCCCAGAGCTGGAATCCAGGTTTGCTTATTTCTCAGACCTCTCCAGAGGGAACAGCGGGCCAGGTGGTGCTACCTCACCCCTCCACACCACCCACACCCCCACCCGTGATGCTTTCTTGTGTTTTATTCCATGCTGACTTTGCTATGGGCTTCGCCTACACTGACTGGGGTATGCTGGGAGGCAACCAACAGACTGGCTGGACGGCCTGGCCAGTGAGTGAGATGCTGGCGAGCAGGTGCTGCTGCAGTGGGATCATCCTGGTAGAGGGAGTGCTGCTCACTGGCCAACCAGCCTTGCTCCCGGCAGGTGGTGGAAGTGCAGTGCTCCTCCTAGTGTGGCTGGATGCGCACACACACACACACACACACACACACACACACACTCACACACACAGAGGCACGTGCACATAGGCTGGCCTAACTTGACATCTTGACATCTACAAGGGCTTTGTTGCTTTCAGGTGGTCCATTCAACTGTGCGACTTGAACAGTCATTCCACACGCTTTCCAGAAGCCAAACACACCTTCACTTTTCCATTCCAATCAGCTGCTAGGCGACCCTCTCGACTGTGGGCTTTACCACACCTCTAACAAAACTAGTCACAAGACAGATGGGGGATCAGGCCTTTGAGAGTGAGCAAGAGGTCCAGAAAGCAAAGGAGAGCGGGCATGGGGGCAGGAGGTGCTGCCTTCTGAAGGCTTCTACAGAAGGAGAATTTTGTTGGGCTGCAGGAAGGGGAAGGGGGAAATTCTGGAGAAAGAATGGAATCACCAGAAAATATAACTCCGTCATGCCCACCATAATTTTATAGTTCTCCCCCTTGCATTTTTGTTTTATTTTGTTTTGGGGTCACATCCAGCAATGCTTAGGGCTTACTCTTGGCTACGCATTTAGGAACTACTCCTGGTGGTGCTGGGGACCACCTGAGATGTCAGGGATTGAACCTTAGCTACATCCAAGGCAAGTGTCCTATCCACTATACTATCTCTCCAGCCCTTCACCACAATACACAAGACAGGTTATGAAGAGAGTGAATTGACTTTTTTTTTTAAAAAGTGAATGCATTTTGCACTAATGAGAAAATAGCCAACTGTTCA